TTTTTTGTTTTTTCTTTTCTGTGGGTCTTCCTTTTTTGTCCGCCCCCCCCCCCCCAATGTCACCATCCAAGTAATACTTGAGGAAGAATAAAAATATGAAATTTTCTCCATCCTGCTCTCACTTCCTCATTAAATCTCTTGACTAGTTGAGAGACTCAGCTTCTTAAGAAGGACCCTTCTCTGAGGTTATTTAGCTATACTCGTATTTAAAATTAGAAATATATTGACCATGTGAAAAACAATATCTCACCACTTATCCTGAAGACTCAAATACTCACCTGTAACCAAATTCTGCTTTCTTACATATTAACAAATGTTTTATGAATGAAGGTATGATGTATTGTCTTTTCTGTGGAAAATGGTTTCAATACACATGAGTAGCATGAAAACTTCCTTCCTAATATTTATCAGTCAACTGAGGTGTCAGGTATCAGATTTCAAAAGCTCTTCCACCATATTGAACTTAATGAAATTTCCAGGAAAAGCACAGGTGGCTACATCCTGTTCGCATAGCAAGGATAGCCTTAAGGAACATTTTAAATTCAAGAATTGGGCTGTCTCCTCTTATCTAGAGCTTATATAGTGTAAATAAATAGTTTCAAATAATTATGGGCCTCTGGCTTAATGAGTGGTTACAGTTGTATACAGCGAAAACACCATTTACAGTTTCTTTGGGAAGCAGCAGTCTTGAACTCTAAACTGAGGAAAGTCTCAAATGATGGAAATTTAATACTGAGATTCTTGAGATGGTATCATTGGAATTTAATGTTAAATGTAAGAAAACCTTAAACCGAAGAACATTAAATGGTGGTTTGAGTATGTCATGTGATTCCAGTATGAACTAATTTTATATTTATTGCTAAGGAGGAAACTAAGAGGGTACTGAACTCTGGTAATGCTTGCTACCAATCAGTCCAGAACCTTTTGTCTTCTCATCTGCTAAAAACATAAAAATTAGAATATATAGAGAACTATAATTTTGCCTGTGGTTCTGGGTGTGAAACTTTGTCTCTGACATTATGGGAGGAGCATAGACTGAGGGTGTTGAGAATATTTGGACCAAAGAGAGATGAAGTGACAGGAGGTTGGAGAAAACTTTATAATGAGGAGCTTCATAACTTGTACTCTTCTCCAAGTATAAATAGAATGATAAGTCAAGGATGATGAGATGGGCAGGGCATGTAGCACAAATGGGGGAGAAGATGAATGTGTGTCGGATATTGGTGGGGAAGCCAGAAGGATAGAGACCACTGGGAAGACCAAGGTTTAGATGGGTGGACAATATTAAAATGGATCTTAGAGAGAGAGGATGGGATGGTATGGATTGGATTGATCTGGCTTATGATAGGGACCAGTGGAGGGCTCTTGTGAACATAGTAATAAACCTTTGGGTTCCATAAAATGCTGGGAAATTCTTGAGTAGCTGCACAGTTGGTGTCTTCTCGAGAAGGGCTCAGTTCCATGAGTGAGTGATTTGTTGGTCTGTTTGTACTCAGGGACCAAATCATCAGACATAAACAGGTGCATAGAGAGGTTTGTGAACAAAACTGGTCAGTTTCCTGATTTCCATGATATCTTGGCATTGGTGAAAAGTGTTCAAGCAGATGTAAATATGAAGCCCGAAGAACTTCGAAGAATAGGTGAGTTGAATATAATAAGTTTCATCAGAAGAGTTTGTTATTGGCAGGAATGAATTGCTAGGACATTATGTTGGTAGTGGCTATATGATGTAATAAACACCAGAGTTGGAGCAATACTCTAGTATCAGTGTGAAAGAATTCAAAAGGAACAGTGATGCCATGTGACTTTGTCACCATACATGGATGAGAGCTGTGAGTGAGGAAGAGCAATCCAGTTCTGAAGCCAAAGTTTGTTATTTGTTATGTGTCACATATACAGTAAAAGGGCATGGGGACTAATTAACTGCTCACACTGTAATGCCTGTAGACTTCTACTGCTTTGTAAAATACTCATTTTATGAGGAATCGTGAGGTTATGCTGCATTCATTTGAAGTTTTGTAATAACATAGAATCTGGAGTACATTTGTTTTCCAAGTATGTTCTTTGCAAGTTAACATATATCACATCAGTCAAGATAAGTGTTTCCCAATTTAATTTGGCAACAGAACCTATTTTGCACTTGAAAAAATTTGCATGGAACCCCTAATAAAATTTTTTTACATGAAACTATAAAACCAGACCACAAATTAGTAGATCTAAGGATAATAATAAATAAATTCTGAACAAGGATGTGAGATCAACACATTACTTAACTCCACATATTTAGAAACAAAAGCACATTTCATGTATATGAGAAATGATTAAAAACTAATATACCACATAAAATATATGCATTTTATAATTTGTGATATTGTAATGGATTTTTTTTTGCATAACCCCTATTTTCACTTCATGGAACCCCATTTGGGAAACAGTGGTCTAGATGTTAATTTAGTTTTAATTTCATATCTGATAGTGGGAGAATTGGATTCAAATGCATTTATTTTTCTTGTCATTGAATATACAATCTCGCAGATATAAGTCTTATAGAGGGTGTCTTTCTGAAATAAATTTAACTCCTTTACTTCAGCAATCATTATTTAAAATTTGGTTGCTGTATTCAACTCCCATTCCTGCACCATAATATTAAAACAGTAAATGAATATCACATTACCTTTCATTATATATTAAATAAAATGTACCTGAATTACCAAAAACAATTAATATTTACATATATATTATCTTCAACAACAGAAAGAATGACTACCAACAATCAGTTGTGTTATGCTGCAGAGATGAATGTGTTGTGCAGAGCTGTTTATGCTATCTGGATTTAGAAATTATTGTCCTTGTATTTTATTAAACATTCACCACATAGAGAAAGGTTTAAAATAAAGTTGTAAGCCCCAAGTTATGTATTTATGTTAAATTTTTTGTATGATGGGTGATTCCAGAAAAAATTAAGAAGTTTGTTTTGAGCTTCTTTTATGTTAGGGTTATGTTTTACCAATACCAATTGAAAGAAAATTTACTACATTTACTGTAGATCCTAATATGAAGATGAAACACGTTAATTAGCATGCAGAGAATTCCATAGTATTGTCATGTATAGGGTGGTAAGCGTGATGGAAATAACGGGTTCTAGTTCAGATGATTGGATTTCTTAGCACTTCAGTTACAAGTTCTCTTAATCACACTCAATACAGTGCTGTTGGTAATTTACACACTTTCAGTTCACCTTTGCGCATGCACTAGGATTCTCAGTTTCCAGTAGTTGTCTCCTAGCAATGGACCTCAACACAGAAACTAGCACCTCAGAACTAAAAATTCTTTGGACTCATTCCTCCAGTTTATGACTGACTTGTAACTGCCCCTGAACTAATTCTGTCAAGTTAAAGTCACATTGTGACTGACAGTTGTTGTGCCACAATGATTGTGACACAAAAATGTCTTTTTATATCTTACCGCTACCACCAATTTGTTATGCCCTGATAGGGGTCATGACTGTACTCACACCCTATCGGACGTTCGTAGATAACTCTTAACCTGTGTGAAAAACATGCTGCACTAGGGGGATCCACAAATAGAGTACTCACCAACAACAATAAAGTAATATATACTAAAACAAACCACTAGTACATCAAACAACCCATCAACTCATACACAACCTTCGACTATACCCCTGTTTTACACTTCCTACAATTTAACTACCCATAATATACTAACCCTAAATGACACAAACCAACACTTTGTATCCCTTTCTCAACCAAAATTTATATCTTAACATTAAATTATGGCTTATGGCTAGGCTTCAGAACAAATATCAAATAATTTTCTGACTGTCTACAATATTTCAAAGTAAATAATGTAATCGATGTCTCCAGTGGGACTGCCATGAAACCTTCCACTGGTTCTGATAATACTTGTACATACAGTTCATCCATTGCTACTTCTGTCACAGGGAAGTCTTTGTCATAAGAACCTAAAATTTCAAATAATTTCTCTCTACAGTTCTCTTGTACTAGTTTTTCTGTGACTACTCACAAAATTTGTAATTTTAAAACTCTAGTTTAAATATGCACGATTTTTAACCCACTTCCAAGGACTAGCTTATACACCACTGGCTAACTGTCTCTGAATTCTTCTCAACATCCGTTGGTCCAAAATTGTCTGGCGTGTGAACACAAAAGTTGTTGAAATGACACCCACTATAAACATTAACCCTTCAAACAGCCAGAAATTGTGTTCGTCCAACCATGTCACTTCATCGCATCTTCTGCTTACAACTTTCCCAGATAACTTGCAGGATAAGGTTTCTTTGAAATATGTAGGAACACACACACCAACACTTTTACTTCTAATTTCAAACTCAGTACAAGGATGACATGCTTCTACTGTTTCAGACTCTTCATACAACCAGCAATTATTCTCATTACTTGAATTCCTGTCCACTACTGCTACATGGTTTCTGCCATTACCTGGAGTCCAGTTACTTTCCACAAAAAGAACCAGCAAAGTCAATCCTCCTAGAAATGTCATAGCCAAAATCATTCGCCTTTTCGTGCAAGATTCCATCATTTTGTATGTAACAATTGCATAAATGTTGACGAACAAAACATTCAAATGCATGAGCACTTCCAAATTTCTTTAAATCACCAAACTCACATGATTATGTGAGTGTTTCCATAATTATAGCAAGTGCCTCTGATGATGGTTGTGTCAAAACGAAACATGTAAGGCAGAAATAATAATAAAAAGTGACCTACAAATTGTTACACTCGACAGACTTTCTATTAACTTTGTCACATGATTAGCATTATCTACCACCTCACACCAACATGCCAGGGTAAATACAAATGGTTACCATCCAAACTTAATTACTAAACCAGATACTGGAATCTAAACCATCACTCAGTAATTCAGAATTACTCTGTTACACTCCAAGGTTTATACACTAAAATAGTTTAACCAATTTTATCCTAAGAAAACATTAATCAACCAAAACCATTGAACCAGAATCATATATTGACAACCATCAGTGATCCGAACACAGGCAAGTACTCACGCTTACAAAAGAGGAAGACATCTGACTCCATCGCATCTCCTTGCTACCACACGACTGTTCTGAGCGACTCTTAAAGTCAGAGTGTTCGTGGCTCCTCCCGTCCGAGACCCTCAAAATTCAAAATCACGAAAAGCTGCTCGCGCAAAACCCCTAAAGTCAGCAAACTGTGCGGTGGCGAGACTTGCCTTGTGTCGTCACTTAATTTGTCATCAATTTCTATAGACTGTACAACTGACACCGGATGGCTAAAGAATGTATGGCGTCTCAACTCTGACTTCCAGCGGGTTTCCAACTTGTGGTTCACCCGACGTATTTAAATTTATAAAACTTATAATTATTTTCTAATTAATGAAATGTAAATTTGACCCCTTGTTAAGATAAAGCATACCCATTAATAATAACCTGGGGCACAGCACAGTCAGTCAGTCAGTCAGTAAGTAAGTCTTGGTGTTGAGCCCAATCTGGGGCTCATGACCAGATATTTATTACTTTTTGACAGTTATGGTCTTCTTTTTGTGGGGCGCCCTCTCTGATGAGAGGACAGGTTTGTCTTTTGTATATGCTGCTGGTCCTTACCAGCGCAGTCTTTCTCAGGTCTAAGTCCCTTGGGACTCGTGACCATATTTTACTATCTCAGATTTGAGACTTCCCTTTTGTTGCCTCATATGACTCACAGGGGCTCTAATTCTGTCAAGTCACATTGCAACTGACAGTCAGTCAATCAATAAGTCTTGGTTCCAAGCCTCATGAACAGATATTTATTACTGTTTGACAGTTACGGTCTTGTTTCTGTGGGGTGCCCTCTCTGAGAAGTGGATGGGTCTATCTTTTGTATATGCTGCTGGCCCTTTCCAGCGCAGTCCTTCTCAGGTCCAAGACCCTTGGTACTCATGACCACATTTTGCTGTCTTAGATTTGAGACTTCACTTTTCGTTGCCTCCTACGACTCACAGGGTCATGGTCAAGGTATTCGACCCCTCTAATTCTGTCACTGCATTCACTTCTCTTATAAGCAGTCTGCACAGACCCCACAGAAAACACTGTCTCAGTAGTTGTTGTTGTTGTTGTTGGCATTATCACTTATGCAGAAGTGTGTTTCCCAAACTGTTTCTAAGAAACAGGTTGGATAACACCATTGTTCCACCACTGCTTGGCACATACAACATAGAAAACACAGCCTCATCTGTTGTTGCATATTGGACCATGTTTACAGAGCTTTTGCCTGGCAGTGCGTTGATCAAATCCATTCTAGTATTGTGAGGTCAGTTTATGTAGGCCTACTTTGTACAAAGAATATATGAAAGAAAGTACAGATGTTTCCTCTTTGATACTACAAGTATTTTAAATTCAGGATAATCAATTAATTTCTTTTTGTAGTCATTTGTGTAACATGAGAAATTACCTTTTCCACTTGTCTCCCTCCTTTACAAAAAGTAATTGCTCTTAGTTTTATGGATAATTTACTGAAAATTTCATGAATTATAGAGGATATGGGTCCAGCTTTCTTTATCTGGATATTTATTATTTTAGATTTAATAATATTAATATTTAAGTTGTAAGGATTGTAGGTAAATGGAACTGGCTCAGTTTGTGTCCATTGTTGTAATTTGTTAACAGAAGTGTTCAGCCTAACTGTTTGGGCTCTGTTTCTACAGAGATAATTATTTAGTTAGTATCGGATTGTATTTGGAAGCATAGTTACAATCATACCAAAATTGTATGAAATTATTCTGTACTTAACTTTTGAGAGAAAAATCTGAATAGCTAAATGTTACAAGACTAGTGTCTTTATGGTTTGACAGCGGAAGAGGCCTTTGTATCAGTTGGGCAGCAGTTGCAGAAGCAGCGGCAGTATGAATCATGGGATTCATTATCAGTTTTCCTGAAGGATCAAGCAGATCCTGCTGAGAGTAATCCTGAACTGGAATCCAAGTTGCAGAATAACTACAAGGAGTATGCTCCACGCATTCAAAATGTAAGCAGCATTGTTGCATCTTCCATTTTCAGGTTTGCTGAATTTTGTCCTTATGTTGATGCCTTTGTTATTACATGGATCACTAGAACATATGCATTATATGCTGGAAGTATTTCTCTATGAATGGTTATATATTATTAAATAAGGTTTATGCAGTTCGCCCGATTAATCAACTGTACAACTTAACCAGTAGTTAAAGAGTTAATATCAATGAAACCAGCTAGTTTATAAGGTCTGATGACATGGAATATGTACAGTATTTCTACTTTCAACTTTATTTTCGTCCATACCTGAAGTGAATACAATTGGACATGTCAAGTAATAATAACGAATACATCACACTTCAAAGTCACATAAAATTTACACAGTGATTTATCACTATAATATAGCAACCGATATAAGGAACATAAAAATAAAAAATACAGAAGACCAAAAGAAAATGTCAGTAATATAAAACATGTAAACACAATATTAAAATTACAAATACAAAACAACTCCATCCAGTGTGACTATTGAAGTTTTTACTACTTAAAAACTTAACACCCTTACATGTTTCGGTCCCTATAGACCAGGGGTCTCCAAACTTTTCAAAACACGGGCCACATTAGGTAATTCAGCGCTTTCAACGGGCTGGATAAAATGAGAAATTAATAACTCTAGGTACGAGGGGGTACCCAAAAGAAACCGAACTTATTTTTTTTAAAACTTATTTATTCAAATTTTAAGCACAAACCTTCAATCCCCTTCAAAGTACTCTCCACTTACACTAATACACTTGTCTAGTCTTTTATTCCATTTTTCAAAACATTGTCTAAATTCATCTTTTGAGATGCTTGACAGCGCCTCCATCGTTTTTTCCTTCACCTCAGCAACATCAGCAAAACGCTTTCCTTTCATGTCTCTTTTCATTCGAGGAAACAAAAAAAAATGACACGGGGCAAGGTCGGGTGAGTATGGAGGGTGAGGAACAGGGGTCATACCATTTTTGGTCAAGAATTGTCGTACAGACAGGGCTGTGTGAGCAGGGGCATTGTCATGATGGAAAAACCAGTCACCCGACTGCCACAAATCTGGCCGCTTCCGCCGCAAACTGTTGCGCAATCTTTTCAAAACTTCCAAGTAGAAAGCCTGGTTAACTGTCTGACCCTGCGGAACAAACTCTGAATGGACGACTCCTCTCACATCGAAAAAACAAATCAGCATTGTTTTCATGTTTGATTTCACCTGACGAGCTTTCTTGGGGCGAGGCGAACTTGAAGTCTTCCACTGGCTTGATTGTTGCTTTGATTCAGGATCGTAAGCATAGCACCAGGTTTCGTCACCGGTGATAATTTTTGAAAAAAAGTTTTGATCATTTCGGGACTCTTCTTTCAAAGCACAGCATGCTTCCACGCGACCTTGTTTTTGTTCAGCAGTCAGCAGTCGTGGCACGAATTTCGCAGCCACCCTTTTCATTCCCAAATCTTCTGTCAAAATTCGCTGAACTGAGCTCCACATCACTCCCGACAGCTCCACAATTTCTTCAATGGTCCGTCGTCGATCTTCCTTGATGATTTCACGAATTTTTTCAACATTTTCATGTGTTCGGGCCGTGGAAGGATGACCAGAACGAGGTTTGTCATCAATTGACATTTCACCATTTTTGAAACGGGAAAACCACTCAAACACTTGAGTTTTCCCCATAGCATCGTCCTTGTATGCCGTTTTTAACATTTCAAGAGTTTCTGTTCCACTTTTCCCGAGCTAAAAGCAGAATTTCACCGCCGCATGCTGTTCACGAAAATCAGCCATTGCAAAAACGACGGTCACACAAAACAGTTGTCACTATAAACTCTGCCGAAACTAGTCCTTACCTTCTGAAGCAATGGTAGACGGCTTATCGACTCAGGAATGTTAGCTCTGTGCGCTCATAGCGGCAAAACGCCGTACTACAAAGGCTCTGCCCAGTTCGGTTTCTTTTGGTTACCCCATCGTATATGAGTTTTATTGAAAGCACAGAATTTCATAAACTAAATACAAAGTACGTGAGAATAAATTATCGTATATTAATGACAACAGACAGTAGCAGCAAATGCTCATATTTTCATCACAAATTATAATAAAACAATTAATGTGAATGATGGAACTCTTTTTGCATTCTTAAAATCTGATTAAATTGAGGTTCAAATTTTGAAACACTAATCACAAGTAGCGAATTTAAATGTTCATTGGATAAATTTGCCCTGTATTTCAACTTGATGTACTTCATCTGGGAAAAAGCTTGTTCACACAGATATGTCGTCCCAAAAATGGAGTTAAAATTAAAATCTTAAATTCACCAAACATATTTCCACAGGATACTCTATTATTAACATCTTTAATCACTCTTAGACTTTTTTTCTGTATTTTAAATACAGTTTTGGAGTCCTTAAGCCCCCCACCCAAAAAATTAATACCATATTTCAATACTGATTCAAACTTAGTAAAATAGACATTTCTTAATACAGGCTGGCTAACTGAGTCACATAAGGATTTAATCAAATAAAGAGCCTTGTTGAGCTTTTGGCATATGTATTGATTGTGTTGCCCAGTTTAGATTTTCAGTAATACAAATACCCAAAATTTTACATTCCGCAAATAAATTATTTCCTTATTATTTAAGCAAAAAACAGGTCTATAGATTGGAGTAGGTCTTCTTCCCTGAAAGAATAATACTTTAGTCTTACCTGTGTTTATTATGAAATGATTTTCATGGAGCCAATTTTCTAATTGATTCCTAACATTTAGGATTTTTTCATTTAATGATAAGAGATTATTGTCAGTAAGTAGTACATTTGTATCATCAGCAAATAATACAACCTTAGCCTTATGAATAGCTAGGGGCAAATCATTTATGAACAATAATCATAATAGGGGTCCCAAAACAGAACCTTCAGGTATGCCATGTTTTATAGCCTTGAGTGAGGCACTCATCTATATAGTATAATGATATTAAAGGATGTTGCTAGACATGATATTCACACTGCACTATTTCAGTATTAGTAGGCATGGACTGGGAAGTATTGGTGACTTACCAGTATGTATTTTTGAAACTGATGTTAAGATGAAATAAACATAGTTCATTTAAATTAATCAGTAGTAGTTATTAAACACTATGGTAAATGGTATATGAAGTGCACGATTGGCATTATACACAGACAAAACTACTATTTACTTCACACCACATTGAATTATTTGTCGTTGGAAACTGTGTTAGGAAGATCAGGAACTCTATTTATCACATAGCATGCATGATCATCTTTCTGATATCATATAAAATTTGTACTGGAGTGGAACCCATGTGCTCCAGAACATGTGCATAGGTAAGTGAGTTTCAGATTTGATGTCTTCTGTTTATGTTACTGTAGCCAACATGCTGTAGACATCAGGGAAATTTCCTGGTCCTTTTGTCCCCTTTTATTAGTAAAGCAGTTTTGAACAGGCAAAGGGCAGATGATTTGTGCTTTGTGAATTGAATCTGAAAGCTGATCCTATGTCAGAGCTCTACATTATAATACATGTAATATGTACCAAAGAGTACTATCTTTTGGGATGTAACAGCATGCAGTCCAGTAGTTCACTGTTTTGTAGGAAAGTACTGCCTCTGTCTTCAGGGTTGAAGAGTAAGCTGAGTAGAAAAACAGCAATAAACAAGTGGCAAGCAAAATGAGCATCTCTTGCTGCTTGTTTTGTACTTAGCTTACTCTTCGACCTTGAAGATGGAGGCATCATGTTTCTTTGAAATGTTAATGAAGTTCTGCCAGACAACATGGCATTACATCTCAGAGTGTAGTACTCTACATAGTTAATGCTATGAGAATCTCAGATCCAGCTGAGAATATTGAATTTGGATATTACAGCAAAAATTTGTACCCTACATCTGTTATTGGTAATGTAGGTCATACCATAACTCAAGTGATTAGGCACCAGGAATTTATGAGAGATAAAGTGGCACTTAGGCAGTTTTTTTCACCCAGTATTTGTTTTCCCATGCCAGTCATCATTTCTCTAGTTCTCTGTATGCATTACTGCCCATGAAGTATAGGGTAGGCCTGATAAACTATCATAAAATCAGCCATCATCCTCAGCCAGGGGTTAATTTGATTTTGCATTTTGCTGGAAGATATATGTTTATCAGTGACCTGACCATTTAGTTACTGGGTTAATAATAATATTTAGGGCAGTGGAAAGAATAAGAAAAAGAGAATTAATTTCAGCATGTTGAATCATGAAAATGTGTAGATTACTGAATTGCATTGCTGTTATAAGATACAGATATCTAACTTTAATAAAAAGGAATGTAATTTCTCATCAGTTTTTAGGCAACTGGCTAATGATTTATTTTATTGATTGGTGTACTGTGTTAACATTTTTTAGCTATGCTGTATATTTATTTCTGTTTGCAGGTGATTGACAGCTTTGCCGAAAAGCAGGTTACAGAGAAATTAGTGGCAGAAGAAGTGCCAGATGAAGATGCCAACAAGACTGAAGATAGTGGGCCAGATGAATGTGAAGAAGAGGAGGAAGCAGAAGATGAGAAAGACTTTGTAGAAAAGGTCCTAAGAGGAGAAGAAGATTTAAGCAGTGAGCGTTGATTCTTGAGTGTAGAATAAATTTATTTATGTTGTGTGCATATTATGTAAATTCATCTTCAAAGTATTTCCATCTTATTTGCGGACTGAGTGCTGTAGACCTTAAAGACAGTGTCATGTCTAACACTGAATCTTGTGTTGATAAATAGCTGCGAACTCTTTGTGGCCAAAACTTTAATTTACAATAGCATCTCAAAATGATAAGTCTCTGTTTGTAAGCAGCATCTTCAGGTAATATTTCTAGGTGCATGAACGAAACTGTTATCTTCATGTCCTGAAATGCATAGTGACTTTCTTCATTCTTGTAGTAGTAAATAGACTGCTAATGGTGTAACAAACCATGCCTGATTGAAAACTAAAGAAGCAACAAATCCACTTTCCACACTAAAAGATCTTAGGTATCGTGTGTAACAGTTTTGTTCCTGCATTAGCTGAGCTTTCTGGTATGCTGTGTTGAAAAGGCAAGTTTATCAATAAATTTTGTGATCTAATTGAGCCAGTAATAATGTATCATCACCATCCAACTCTTTCTAATCTCAATATGATTCTATATGTATAATACAAACTCCGTCGCAAATGTAACACTTTATTGTAGTTCTTGTTCCCCTTCTTTGACACCACATGTTTCGGCCTCAACCGGCCATCATCAGGTGTATTTCACTTCACACACTGCACTCAATATTAATATTTAACACTTTGCGGACCGGTGATTTAAATATTTAAATCACCCTGGGGACCGGCGTTTTTAAACCTACTACCCTAACTTTTGCACTATTCACTTTAAAAATTAATATAAAATCTCATAATTGATTTTATGAACTAAAATTTTTGGAGAAGACTTACCAGAGCTCCTAGAAGTGCTTCAGAGTGTGATATTTCTGGAAACATTCCCCTCTGTGAAGAGGCATGACGCAGAACTTGCAGACATAGGAAGTCTTGCTTCGCTTCTTGTGCACAGCGCACACACGGCACTGCCTAGAAGGATACTTCCCCATTGATTGTTCACTCATCACAATTTTCATGAGGGTATGTTTCCGCGTATCACCCGAGAGTCACCCAGGGGGGTCCATATGAGGCCTCTGTGGGGTGGGAGTAGATGGTCCCGGTTGTACTACGTCTGTGTCTGACACAGGTTCTGCCGCCACCCTGAGGTCTGTAGCCCAGGCTTTTGCCACATTCATGAGAAATGCCTTGTATTTCAAAGTTGAATTTTCGTTTAGCTCTTTGAAAACCAAAAATGAATTGAAAAGGGCACAATTTATAAGCCACAAGGCAACTTTCTTCGTCCATTTTACTGTTTTCCTAGGAAGGGAATAATAGGCCAAGTATTGGTCGGCTCTATCAACTCCCTTCATGAACATATTGTACTGAGAAATACAAAGAGGCTTCTTCTTCACTTGCACATGTCGTCTTTGAACATCGACCATGCTTGAATTGTGAATACTGGAAATCACATTCACAACGCGAGTATCCCTCCAGAACTGAAGAAGAATGTCCCCCTTCCTCCTGAATGTGGTGTCACCACGTTTCAGGGATTTACATTCCTCTTTCAGATCTCTGTTCACCCTAATTGTACCACAGATATGTACTTTCCTTGAAAGTAGGTATTCTGCAGTTGCCACACTGTTATAAAAATGATCTTGATAAACGTGATAATTTTGATCCAGATAGGGATCCAAAATGGAAACAATAGCTTCTTGCAATTTCTTGCCTTCACCAGAATAAATTTCTAAATTTCCAATATATCCTGAAGTGCTTTCCGTGACTACATGAACATGTAGGCTATACTTTGTGAGTTTCCCAGGATTATACGTTTGGAAACGAAGCCTTCCCCTCCAAGGAATCCAAAAAACAGTTCAGCTACTTCAGACACTTGCGTAGGGTCCGACTGCATTTGTCTCACCCCTGGATCGCCAGTAAACTTTCCCAAAGTGGGTGTTTTGTCCACTTTACCCCACGTGGCTGTCCCCGCAATGCTAGCACTCGCACTTTCATCGGAGCTCTCACTGTCATTTCCACTTTCTCGTCTGGTCACAATATTTTGGGGGCCCCTGTCACTGCCACTGGCACTGCCCTCGCTATCAGAAGACGAAGCAGTTAGCAAGTCAGATAACTCATCGGAGATCAAATCACAAATTTCTTCTTCTCCGAGAGCTTGCGCGGTCTTCAACTGCTTTCGTCTCTGAGCCATGTTGACACTGAGAATATCTTGCCTCACACATAGACGCTTCGACTTGAACAAAAGGACTTTTCTTTAGAGTGAGAGGGGAACAGAGAGTGGTCACGTTGCTGACTCGGAAAACAAACATTCCAAAGGTCAGCTATGCAGTACTTTTACAGACACGTGGCCACCAAAGCGAGGAATAGTGTGTTGCAACATAATGTGTCCAAAAACCCTAAATCTAGGCGACCGGTCTGCCATGTTTAAAACCCAAATGCCTAGGCCTAGGAGTCTGGTCCACAAAGTGTTAAACTCCAGATTCCCAATTGTTCATTGCTCTGTCATCAATTGGTATCTGATATTCAGAATTCCCCTTGTCGATTTTTGTCAGTTATGTTTAAAATCTTTATTAATATTCATACGTTGATTGGTTTAAAATTTTAAATTCTCAATTTAGTTTTAATATTTAAAATTTAAATTTAGATTTAAAATCACAATCACAATCTGCTCTATGCTTATGTGTGCTGCAGCGGCTACCTCTTGCTTTCAGCACAACTCGCTTGTTATCTGTAATACACAAATAATCGTATTACTGTCTTATGTTCTTACGTTATTCCTGTATATTTTATATTGTTATGTGTACTTACGTTGTGCAGGTTCTCTGTGTGCGTGCCATTGGTTTTCTTTAATACGTTTGCTGTCTTGTGTGTTGTGTGCTGTGTTTTTATGTTGTTAAGTGTGGAAGGGGAATGGGTAGTGGGGGGAGGGGGGTGTAATGTTAGTCGGTATAGATCTCTTGTATCATTTGAAATATGGGATTGTGTGTATCTATGTATGTGTCATTGACGTGCAGGCCCTTCTTACCTATTTTATATATATGGTATTTTTCTAGTGTATTCAAATGTCTACCTTTCTTCCCCGTTGTTATAACTTCCATTACATCTGTTATTGTTTTGTATGTATGTCCCGTGTTTAGTATGTGATTTGAGTATCCAGAATTGCTATTATTATTTCTAATATTATGTCTCTGCACCTTATATCTGGTCTTAAATGTTTGGCCCGTCTGTCCAATGTATTTTAATGGGCAATCTACACATTTCATTTGGTATATACCACTTTTATTATATTTATCTAATTGTGGTTTATGTTTTAGTATATTTTCAATTGTGTTCTGTATGCAGGATGCTATATTTCAAACAAACATGAGATGTATACCGACTAACAGTACACCCCCCTCCCCCACTACCCATTCCCCTTCCACACTCAGCAACATAAAAACACAGCACACAACACACAAGACAGCAAACGTATTAAAGAAAACCAATGGCACGCACACAGAGAACCTGCACAACGTAAGTACACATAACAATATGAAATATATAGGAATACCGTAAGAACATAAGACACTAACACGAATATTTGTGTATTACAGATACACACGAGTTGTGCTGAAAGCAAGAGGTAGCCGCTGCAGCACACATAAGTATAGAGCAGGTATCTCTGTGATGGTGATTTTGATTTTAAATTTAAATTCTAAATATTAAAGCTAAATTGAGAATTTAAAATTTTAAACCAATCGACGTATGAATATTAATAAAGATTTTAAACATAATGGACAAAAATCGACAAGGAGAATTCTGGAATATCGGATACCGATTGACAACAGAGCAATGAACAATTGGCAATCTGGAGTTTAAATATTAATATTGAGTGCAGTTTGACAGCTACGTGAAGTGAAATACACCTGATGATGGCCGGTTGCTGCCGAAACATGTAGTGTGAAAGATGGGGAACGAGAACTACAATAAAGTGTTACATTTGCGACGGAGTTTGTATTATACGTATAGAAGTGTGGAATGTAACAGGATGCTTAAATATAATATACTCAATATGATGTTTGTATGTCTTCCTTCTTAAGTCCAAAAAATGTTGTACACAATGTTGCTGCTGTTGTTTTGCATGGCGGTATAGAGCCAGAATGTGTTTGGTTAAATACTTTACAAGAGAAGACAATGGGGGCTGTTGGCTCTTTTATGGTTCTTTTGTGATCTGTATCAAGCTTGGTTTTGGGGCATGGTTCACTCTTCTTCCCACTTGGATTTTGCTAATTTCTTGCTTAGCTTACTCTTTGACCTTGAAGATGGCAGTGATTTGTTCCCCTGAAATATTAATGGAATGCATGATGTTACAATGGAGATCGTACCCTTCATAGTTAATTGATTGAGAGTCTAAAATCCAACATGTTATTGAAGCATTTGCCCGAAATAACTAAAGAAAAGCACAAGATATGTCAGTTGTATTAGTTGGTCTCTGGGCTGAGATTTTTAGCATGGTATCTCCCAAATAAAAAGCTGGGTTGCTAATCACTTGACTACAGTGTTCAGTGTAATAATTTTGTGTGATCATTTGTAAACATCAGTCACAGTAAAATGTGCACTGTCACAATGGGCAACAGCATGATTTAAGCCAAGACATGAAGCAGTGAACTGATGTACTCAAACATTGTCTTTGCTGATCTAAAACATGAGTTGACTCCATACCACAGCAAACCTCCACACCTATATGGTCTTCCCAAGATTCACAAACCTGACATTCCTGTAGGCCTATAGTGAGTTCAGTTGGTTGTGCCCTGGATGGGTTTCTCCATCAGATAATGAGTCCTCTTTCAGGAAAATTGGAATCCTTCATAAAGAATTCAGACCACTTTGTACAGTTGTTTAAATTTGTAAACCTTCAGTCTTCAGATACCCTTATTAGCTTTGATAATGTTCGTCTTTTCGCTAATGCACCAATCGAAGAAGCCCTACAAGTCATCAAAAATAAACTCTTTAATGATGACACATTGGCAGAACAGTCTGTCTTGCAGGTTGAAGGCATCATGGAACTGTTGGAAGTTTGTTTGGGAACCACATATTTTCAGGTGTACGAAAAGTTTTTCCAGCAGGGGAAGGGAAGCTCTCCATCACCCATTGTTGGCAACATCTTCATGGAGCATTTTGAGAAATTTGCTCTTGAGGTGACATGATACAAACCAGTGCTGCAGCATCAGTATATTGATAACACATCTGTGGGCTGGCCTTGTGGCCGAAAGCAGTTACAGAATTTCCTCAGCCACCTCAATAATTTAAGGACTGTGGAAATAGGGTCAGACAGTGCAGTTCCATTTTTTTATATATATAATCAGGAAAGGGACACTGGCCACGAAAGCTTACAGAAAGCCCACCACACAGGCTGATATCTCATCTTAATTTCCAACCATCTGCTGCTTGTGAAAAGAGGTTTAATTCAGGCTGTTGACAATAGCGCTTCCACCATATGCCGAGAAAGATGAGATATTTTTCATTAAATTAGTAACCTAAGACATGATCTTCAGCTCATTGGTTATCTCCAAGGTTTGTTGACTTGGTTATTAATTCCAAGGGTAGTAGTCATCCGATTAAAGAGAAAAAACCTCTGGGGCTCTGTGTATGTTCCATATGTGAAGGGTGCTTCAGAAAAGTTCAAATGTATGGGGAATTGATATAACATTAGGACAGTCTTCAAAACCAAACACACTCTTAGGAGTTCACTTATGAAAACCAGGCCAGAAAATGATATGCGACAGACAGCACAGTGCAGGTATAGCATTCCCTGTGAATGTGGCCTATGCTACATTGAGAAAACAGGTAGCTCTCTAGCTGTGTGGGTCCATGAACATAGGCACAGTCTTAAAGAGGGTTATGTAGAAAAATCAAAATTAGCACAGCAGGCTTATGAAGAGGGTCGTAAGGTCACCTTCTCTATCTTAGTTTCAGGTCTGTGCATGCTTTATCACAATTTTTATTGTACATTTTTTCTATTATCTCCATTTAACAAGCCTAGCCTTAGGTGTTTATATAGATGCAGTGTTGAAGCACTGTGCTACAAGCTAGAAGGTTGCAGGTTCGATTCCTGATGTCATTGGATTTTTCAGTTGACCTAATCCTTCCATCCTCAATATGGCCTTGGGATCAACTCAGCCACTAAGAAAAATGAGTATCAGCATGTAAGGCTGACAAACTCACTGCCATCTGTGAGCCAACTTTCTAGGAAGTGTGGAAGCCTCGACATGTCACTACCCCGTGGGCTTCCACGGCCGGTTACAGGGATAGCTTTACTTTATACTGACTTAAGCTGTCCACTGATCAAGGTTAACTATTTCTAAGGAACCCCACAGAGTAGGTGTCTCCTCCATCACTTGAGAATGAAAACAGATGCAGTTTCCAAAACGTGTTCTCTAGTTTTTTAGAATGCCGGATGATTGACAAAGTCCAAAAACCCAGTAATGCTGTTGTACACCTTTGTTAAAACCTTTTAGAATTAACTAGTATTAAGGGACTTTCACAGTAATTATGAGTAAAAGTATAGCAATGCAATGCTGATGTTCTGATATCCTGAAGAAAATAAGACTGTGGTAGAATTCCATTGAATTTCTGTTCTGTTTTGATATGTTTCAGTGGATGAAGATACAGAAACAGAAAATCATGAAGAGAATGGGAAGTGTGATGTATTGGCTGATGAGGATGGTTGTGAAAGTAGTCATATATTCCCTGGCCAAGAAGAAAACCCTTTAGAGGTGACAAATGACTGCATACATATGCAGAACCCCCTTGCAGTAAACACTCAGAGCTGCTGTCCATCAGCATCTGTTGCAGATGTCTGCATAGCTGGTCAACTTGGACCTGTGTCACCACCTGTCTTAGGAGAAGACTTAAGTAAGCATGAATTACATCATATGAAGCTGCCATCTGATAAGGAATACAATAGTTCTGAAGAAAAATCAGATGGGTGCAATTTTCCAAGTGACACTAAATGCTTGTCGTCGTTTCATTCCAGTGAACATAATTTACATGTTTCTGAATCATGTTCGTCACCATTGTCCACTATATCCCATTCTGAACAGTTTAAAAAATCAGAGTCTAAATCATTAATATTTTCAAGCATTACTGATAGTGATAGTGTATCTCACCATTCAGGACAACAGGATACATCCAATTCTCATCCAACCTTATGTACAGCCATTATTAAAGATACTGATAATTTACAGTCTCCTCATTTACAGCTGTACAAAAGTGCAAAACCTGAACTTTCCTCAGCTTCCATTATTAAAAGTGATGCAAACTTGTCTTCTCTCCACCCCAAACAGTATGACATACCAAAAACACAAGCATCTTTACCCACAAGTACCATTGAAGGTGATGCTGAAACCTCAGATGAAGACAGGGCATCTCCTTCTCTCTTAATGAATCAAAATACTTCTGAGCTGGATTCCAGTGTAGAAAATTCAGACAGTTCTGGTACATTAATTATGCAACCAACAGCAACAGATGTCAATGTTAATGGAGTAAAGTCAAAGAGTAACAGTAATTCGGACCTCACTCTTCATACAACACCGACAAGAAGTGAATTAATTAGTAGCAAATTTGTGGTTACAAAAATGGAGGTAGAGTCAGACACAGATTCTAGAGTTGCGTGTAATAAATCTGAAAAAATGATTAGACCACTCCGAAAGTTTGTTAGGAAAATAGGCATTTCTTCAATTGGCAAACAGGAAAATGCAAATCCTGATGTAATTACCTTAGAGTGATTATCTGTTTACAAGTCTTGCTGGCCTGATGTGTGCTGGATGGTATAACAGTTTTATTTTTCTCCATGACTTTATTACACCTTGTTATTTACACTGAGGAACAAAGTAAAGCTGAGTCACAGTTTTCTTCCACTTCTTGAAAAATGAGAATTAGAAATCTATTGAACATAAATTCTGTAGATCATCAGAGACAAAATAGTCTCTTCAACAAGCCATGCCAGATTTACATTACCCACTGCTGACTGTTGCTTTAGTTCCTTTCTGTATGTTATTGATCTGTAGACATTTTGACGTTTTTTGTCCATGATTTTTATCTTGTTGCTACAGCTCTGTGGCACGTATCAAACTGGTATTGTAACAATTTTTTCCAACTTGCCTAGGTTTAAAAATATGGAGAGTTTAACCCCCATATACCGTGTGAGATTTGTTTGAATGGTGCTTAGGTGCAGGTACCTTATCTGAAGGTCAGTTTCAAACATTTTATTTCTTCATTTTTATACACCAAAAATCTGTGAATAAATGTGTGTTTGGATTCAGTATTCATTCGTATCTGATAATTGGTGGTGATGGTAATGATGATAGAAAACTATGTCACTGAAACCAGACATGTTCCATATTTGATAACTGGTCAGAATTAGAAACAGGACTCATGCTTGGAAATCCAGTAATTTGTAATAGAGCTGTACAGGAGCTAATAGCCTTCAGTTTAGAGGGTTGAACCAAACTGCAAAGCCCATGCTTATAAAGCAGGAGTAAAAATGAATGCGAGTATGCAAAAAGTAAACAGTTACCACTACATAAATGAAATGACAGACTAGCAAGACCTTTTGTGGTTTAATTAATGAATATTCTTTACATTTTAAGTATGTCATATATATTTATATAATCATAAAAGTTAATATCATTTGTAAAAATGTACTACTATCCTTGTGCGTAAAAATTAATAGTAAGAGAAAGGAAATTGTTTTATTTAATTATGGTATATGGTATATTTATGATTCACCTTATCTTGCTTACAATGTATGCTATAGTGTTTGTATTGACAGTTTTAAATCGTGTACATAAATGTAGCCACATAAGTATTACAGTAGTTTTATTTACTTGTCTTCTCACCAGAAATGTTCTAACTTTCAATCTCTGTGATGGACACAGAATAATAACTGTCTAAAAGCTGTCAAGGACTTCCATCTCCATGGTATTCTGCAGAGCAAAATAGCTTTCATCTATTAATGCTTATTAAAACTGTAGTCTACTTCTGTGTCATCCTGTATAAGAGAACAAGTAAGTTTTTAATAATGCCATTAAGAGGTGTATGTTAATATAAATAAATTCTTCATAGTGAAGAATATATTGTGGGACACAAGAAACATAGTAAGCATTAATAATATATTTCCACAAGGATTCTACTATGTTGGGAGAAACATATATGGTTTACATTTCAAATTCTGAAAGAAGTATTTCTCTAAGTGTAAAATAATTCTGGCACGCTTAAGTGCAGCCATTAAGGAAATGATGTAAACAGTTGGCTTGCAATAGGTATTTTTTTATTAAGCATGGTTGATAACAAGTTATCTCAGAAATCTGTGATCACTCAGTAAAGTAATCATTATCAATAAGATGATTTACAAGGCATTAATGATAATAAAAAAGGAACATTGTGTTCATGTCTTGTAATGTTTTTCTGCATTTTTGAAGATATGTTCGGGTTTCTGCTAGTCTACTGTGTTCATAAAATACGAGTATTTGCAGCATATCAACCTTATATTTCAAATAATTTTGGAGTTATGGTGTTTCAAAGCTGGAAAACAGAGTTTAGAAAAATTATTTTTAAGGTCAACCATGTTTTTCTGTCTAACTTATGCTACTTTGGTACATTATAGGTTCACTGTCCTTTTGTCCTTTGAGCTCTCTGAAACTACCTTTTCAGCTTCAGTAACTCAGATTTGATTGATGGCAGTAAGTGCTTTTATCATAACACTGTTTTTGCTAAAATTGTATTTAAGAAGAAATTTATTTGTTACTATCTTCACATATTTATGTAGATCTCTGTATAGATAAGTTCCTGCAGATTAATCTAGATTAGAGTCTGATGTACTGGCTACACCAACTGTGGCTTTTGATTTTTTATATGAGGGTTGGAACTTTAATAGTGGCAACTGTTTATTTACAACTGATACAAAATAGATGCATGTTTCAAAGTTTTACTGTCCTTCAATGTAGTCACCACCATTGTGTACAACCCGTTGCCAGCGATGTGGAAGTCATAGGATACCTTTAGCAGCACCTTTTGTGTTAATAGTTCAACTGGAGTGGTCTGTTGCCTGAAGAATCTCTGGAACAGTTGTGAAGCGAACACAACAAAGTGGTTCCTTCATCTTGGGAATCAAGTCGAAGTCACAAGGGCTTAAGTCCGGGGAGTATGGTGGATGGTACAGCACTTCCCAGCCCCATCGATCGAACAAATCAGCCACAGCTTGCACTGCATGCGGCTGAACATTGTCCTGCAAAATGATGGGTAGGTTCTGCAGAAAGTGTCACCGCTTCTTTCTCAAAGCTGGTCGCAGGTTGTGTTCCAAAAATGAACAGTAATACTGCGCAGTGACGGTCTGCTGTCAGGGAACGGTATGCTTTAGGATAACACCATCACAGTTGTACACGAGAATCACCATTACTTTCACATTGGTGGGGTTCTGACAAACTTTTGATATTCATGATGACTCGTAATGACGCCATTCGTTCGATTGGCGTTTCATTTGTGGCTCGTACAATTTGGCCCATGTCTCATCTGGCGTAAGAAAGCCTCTCCTTTGCACTCCAAGTGGTTACGAGCAGTGTCTTATCGTAGCCATTTTTTGCATTTCTGTCACATGTGGAACCCATCGTGATGCAGTTTTTCTCATGCCCAGGTGTTCCTTCAGATTGTGAAGCACAGTCATATGCGCTAATCCTGTCTCAGGCCAGCTCACGAATCATATGGCGTTGATCACTCTCCAATAATGTGGAAGGAGCATATGCTTTTTCTGCACTGACACTGAGGTGACCTGGCCAACTCACATCTGCCACATTTTGGCGCCCCTCATTGAAGGCTTTTACCCACCTAGCCACTGTTCTGTAGATGCAGATTCCCCGCAAGCCTCTTGAAGACCTTGGTGACACTGTCGTGTTGTACGGCCTCTGGCACATTCAATCATTATCCATCTCCGTTGTTCCTGTTTCGAAAACATCGTGACAACACTACATTAGACTGCCAGCTAACATGAGACTCTGTTCTTGTCACTGCGCATGCGCGTGATGTTGGAAAGGAGAGTCCATTTGCTCTGAAGTAAGGTAGGTATATAATTAACGTGTGGTATAAGTGACATTATTTGGTTCTGTTGCATGTCGTCTCTACAGTAGTGTTGCCAGTATTAAAGTTCCAACCCTCGTATAATGATTCACATAAAACTTTGTGACAGCTGGCACCAAATTTCTTAACCCGCGGCATATTTTAACCCAATCTCCATTAAAACCCACTATAAAAAACTGAGGTAAGATAGAAACGATATTTCTTTCTCTTAGCATGAGATATAAACAACCTAGACATGCGGTCTTGAGGTGGCTAGAGTCAAGATTGAGCTATTGCAGCCACTTTATGAGTTAACTTATGCCCCTTTAGAATACCAAACTTACTGCATCTAAATATGAGTTTATTACTTAGGAAACAAGTTATGTGAGTTTTAAGATTTTGATGTTAAAAGGCAGCAAATCAGGCATATCAGAATGCTTAAATGTGTATTTAACGGACAGAAATGTATTGCCAGCAAATCTAAACTATGTGTTTTCTTGAAGAAAGACGTCTTCTGGGTTTAGGCACCGTGTATTCTTCGTTTCGGCCGATGTTTCGGAGGAATGTAGTGCCTCCATCTTCAGAGCAGTTGAATGGCTTGGAATGCGGAGAGCTGTAGCTGTAGTGATAGGATGTGAAAGTTGCTGCTTATATATGAAGTAGGCAGGGGGTGGTTGGTTAGGGAGAACGGACCAATGGGACCAGTGGGGAGCGATTAAGACCATATATGGTGTTGTGTTGACTAAGGGTGGGGGGAACGGCCAGTGGATCCAGGAACCTTGAGGTCAGTAGCACTAGGAAGTGCGGTAGACAAGAAGAACCGGTAGGTTGGGGACAGGCTATTGACGTCAATGACATGACGAAGAACTGGTGTGGCTAGTTGGATTCTCTGAGGGAAGAGATGCTTCCATGTGTGTCGAGATAGTTGAGAGCGATAAGACCATAGATGTAGTGTGCTAAGTTAGGGGGAGGACGGCCAGTGAATCCAGGAAACTCAGGTCAATAGCACTAGGAAGTGCGGTAGACAAGAAGAACCGGTGGTTGGGGACAGGCTACTGACGTCAATGACATGACGAAGAACTGGGGTGGCTTGTTAGATTTCTCTTGATGGTAGAGATGAGTGGCTTCCATGTCCTGTCATTGACGTCAGTAGCCTGTCCCCCATATCATGTCATTGACGTCAGTAGCCTGTCCCCAACCACCGGTTCTTCTTGTCTACCGCACTTCCTAGTGCTATTGACCTGAGTTTCCTGGATTCACTGGCCGTCCTCCCCCTAACTTAGCACACTACATCTGTGGTCTTTATCACTCTCAACTATCTCGACACACATGGAAGCATCTCTTCCCTCAGAGAATCCAACTAGCCACACCAGTTCTTCATCATGTCATTGACGTCAATAGCCTGTCCCCAACCTACCGGTTCTTCTTGTCTACCGCACTTCCTAGTGCTATTGACCTCAAGGTTCCTGGATCCACTGGCCTTTCCCCCCACCCTTAGTCAACACAACACCATATATGGTCTTAATCGCTCCCCACTGGTCCCATTGGTCCGTTCTCCCTAACCAACCACCCCCTGCCTACTTCATATATAAGCAGCAACTTTCACATCCTATCACTACAGCTACAGCTCTCCGCATTCCAAGCCATTCAACTGCTCTGAAGATGGAGGCGCTATGTTCCTCTGAAACGTCGGCCGAAACGAAGAATACACGGTGCCTAAACCCAGAAGACGACTTTCTTCATTGTCATCGCCGTGAAAACCTCAAATCTTACATATGTGTTTTCTTGTTCATGAAAGAACAAAGGCTTTAATTGGACTGAAACAAAATATATATATATATAAAATTTGTAGTTCTGTTGCTGTACAATGGTTGTGAGAAGGAACGTGTTGCTTGGTAATGGCTCAGTAAGCACATTCCAGTGGAAATGAGGTGCACACAACAATACAGTTGCAGTGGAAATAAGGGTGTTTTCTTTTGGGTCCGCCCCAAAGCTATCTAGCAAGGACTCCATGCCAGCTGCAGCAGTTCAGTTAAGAGAAGTGAAGTAGTCTGTTGGTGAGTGAGTGAGTTCGGTTGAGGGTTGGCAGTTGAGCCAAGCTCTGCAAGGGAAGCTGAGAAGAGATGGTGCTGTAGTTGAGTTTACAAGAGTTCAGTCACGGGATATTTGCCGGGTAGTAACGTGAGCATGGGAAGTTGAATAATCTCCACTGTTAAAGCCATTGCTACGGAATGGCTGTTGAAGACAGCAGGCTAGAAAAAGGTTTAGTGGGTGCTGTGGTCTTTTGTGAAGTGTGGAGATTAGCAAAAGCGCTGTACTTGTACTTCCAAGTGGTCAGTAAATCCACTATCCAATCCATGCCCCATCTATAGTCACACCCCAAAATATGTGGCAGTATATATATGATATTTTTATTGAAATTCAAATGCCAATACACTTAGGTTTCCATTTTATTGTAAATTATATGGTTTATTTTATTGATTTGGATATTATTACATGAATTCTAGATTAACTTTTTATATGGTAAATATCATTGGTATTTGTATGTTGTTATTTGTCTGAGTTATTTGGTGTAGTGATAATTATTTAAAGTTTATCAATTAAGACTGAACACAAGTAGGAAAATCATGACATTGATTATGTAAAACACATTGTTATGAACCATATACGACAGTAAGCTATGGATGAGTCATATTTTTAAGTGTGGTACTGTACCATATTCTGTCAAAGCAGTCTGGAAACTGTGACCATTCACTA